GTCTAGAAGGTGGGAGTAAGTAAGGTTTGAAGAGAAATCACTAGTGGACAGAATACAGAATCCTATGTGAGGAATAGCCCCTAAGCACGAACCCTCCAGTGTAATTGCCGTGTGTCTAGGTTTCAACAAGCTCCTTGGTCCTTCCCGGGAGCCTGGAGAACTCACTTGCGTTCCTATCTTCTGTTCTATACTTTCCATGCCTCACTCTTGTTCTTTCTCACCCATTCTTCATTCAAGCTTTGATTTTAAAAAAATTCAGTCGCTAGGCATTTGTGGCTCATGGTTATCACCCTGGCTACTTGGGAGGTTAGGAATAGGAGGATCTCAGTTTGAGGCCAGCCCAGGCAGAACATTCTCAAGATCTCTTCTCAACTTGTAGTTGGGGGACAGTGGTGAGGGCGGGTCAACCCAGGCCAAGTTTGGGAGACTGTGTTTGGGAGGATTAGGGTAGCAGGCTAGCCCAGGCAGAGAAATCAGTGAGTTTCTTTGTCTCTAGGGATAGAGGCTGGCTGGAAGGAAGCTGGACATAGTGGTGCACCTGATTCCAGCCGCGGCAGGCTCTGTCTCACGCACATGCAGTGCTTGCTGTTTCGTGCCTTATTTCACCTCACCCTACGCCCTCTAGGTCCATCTGTGCTGTCACAAGTGACAGGATTTCACATTTTTTGTGGCCGAATAATATTCCACTGTACATCACATTAAAAAAATCTACTCATAGCTGCCTGCAGACACACCCTAACATCCTAGCTATTCAGCAGGTTTGAGAATCTTGGTTCAAAGCCAGCCTGGGCAGACAAAGCTGTGAGATCCTTATCTCCAAGTACCCAGCAAAAAGACAAAACTAGAGGGATGTGTCAAGTGGTAGAGTACTAGCTGTGAGTGAAAAAAGCCAAGTGAGAGCCCAGAGCCCTGAATTCAAGCCCCAGTGCCCAAAAGCCATTCTATCAGAGGCGCTAAGGTTTATCTCCTAGCTTGGCTATTGTGTCATACACACGGCTGTGCAGGTGTCTGGACATGCCAACTTCACTACCTTGATGGCATCTTCCAACACCCAGCACCCCTTTCCTCCTCAACGGCCTGCTGGCAGGGACTGCGTCTGTCTCCATGGCTTCCTTTGGCCCTGATGCCACAAAGATAATTACACGGTGCCCTGGGTTTAGAGTTTTGCAAACACAGTCAGTGTAGGGACATGTTACAAAGGATGGAGGAGAGCTCTTGCCACCCCCATTCCTAATGGCAGCCTTCCCCGCCTCTTAGCGCCCCGGGGCTGATGCTCATTCCTCCCTCTGCGTCCTTCTCTACTCTCCTGTCCTATTTCTAGGAAGATGGGCTTCTCAGCCCGAATGCTGAATGGAGACAGGTTGCAGGCCTGGCTGTGGATGTACGGAAGCATCCGGTGGGGAGAAGCCGGGGGCCATTGGTGGAGCTGTGGGTCTTTGGAGGCAAACACTCCGGCTTCAGTCTCAGCTTTGCTTCTTTGTAGCTGTGGTCACCTCAAGCACATGACTTGATTCCAGTTTTGCATCTATACAACGAGGAATCTTGTGGAAATTAAACTAGAGTTCAGAAGCAACTCATGAAGCAATACTGGTGGCTCCTGAACTGTAATCCTGACTATTCAGGAAGCTGAGGGTCATGCTTTGAAGCCAGCCTGGGCAGGAAAGCCTGCGAGACTCTTCTCTCTAATTAATGGCTAAGAAGCTGGAAGTGGAGCTGTGACTCAAGTGTTGGAGTGTCAGCCTTCAGCGAAAAAGCTAAAGGACAGCATCCAGGCCTTGAGTTCAAGTCTCAGTACCAGTACGCATGTGCATGTGTGTGCATGCATGTGCGGGCACACACACATGTGCGGGCACACACACCACACCACACACACACTCCATAGGTAGCTTATGATGGACAGTTCAACACATGCCTAGCTCCTTCCCCGTCAGACTCAAATCTCCTGCTTATCCTGGGGTGTCGTGGCAGGAATACCCTGGCTGGGGATGAGATTTCTAAATCCGTTGCACAACCACCCGGGGAGGAAAGAATGGCTGCTCTGTTGCATTGTGGGGCAGGGTGGCGTGGGGAAGAAATTTCCAAACCACCCCAGTTACCTCCCAAGACCTTTTCCAGTTGCCCAAGCCAGAAATCCACCAGTGGAAGGCCAGCCTTTCTCCTGAGAATAGTCTGTCCCCCTTTTTTTTGGGTCCAGTCGTGGGGCCTGAACTCTGGGCCTGGGCGCTGTCCCTCAGCTCTTCAGCTCAAGGCTAGCGCTCTACCACTAGATCCACAGCGCCACTTCCAGCTTTTTTCTTTTTGCTTATGTGGTGCTGAGGAATCGAACCCAGGGCCTCAGGCATGCAAGGCCACCTTCCCAGCCCCACTTCTGGCTTTTTTGTTTCTGCTTATGTGGTGCTGAGGAATGGAACCCAGGGCCTCAGGCATGCAAGGCAAGCACTCTCCCACTGAGCCACCTTCCCAGCTCTGGTGTGTCCCCTTTAGTTCTTTCCACCTCCACGCCTTCAGTTTGGGTTTCCCTGGAACAGGGCAATGGCAACCTTCAGTGCTGTCCCTCGGTGCTTTCTCACAAGCCCCCGCGAGCTTCACGCTCCCAGCTGAAATGCCTCATTGGTTGTTCAGTAAGGGGAAGCCTACCTCCCCAGCCGGTCGGCTTCCTGTTCTGCCTCTTAGCTGGCTCTCTCCAACTCAACCTCGGCCCAACTCCCACAGCTCTCCAGGACAGTTTGGTCACAAGGATGGCTTATTGGGACTGAGGGTTGGTCCAGACTGGGGTCTTTTAGTGCTAAGCCAAGCCATAATGGCTGGTCACCTTTACCTCTGTTTATTTTGTTTTGTTTTAATCTCTTTCCTTTTTCTAGAAGGTTCCCCCTGGTCCTCCCCTCACCTCACCTCCTATTTACTACTAAATAATACTCATCTCTGGCTTCCTGTGTGGCAAGTGTGTGTGTGTGTGTGTGTGTGTGTGTGTGTGTGTTCTAAGGCTTGAACTCAGGGTCTGGGTGCTGTCCCTTAGCTTTTTCACTCAAGGCTGGTGCTCTACCACTTGAACCACACCTCTACTTCTGGCTTTTTGACTGGTTACTTGGAGATAAGAGTCTCACAGTGCTGGGAATGTGGCTTAGTGGTAGAGTGCTTGCCTAGCATGCATGACGCCCTGGGTTTGATTCTTCAGTACTGCATAAACAGAAAAAGCTGGAGGGGACACTGGCTCGAGTGGTAGAGCACTAGCCTTGAGCTCCAGACTGGCAAAAAAAAAAAAAAAAGAATCTTATAGACTTTCCTAGCTGGGCTGGCTTTGAACCTCAGCCAGTCCTCAGATCTCAGCCTCCCCAGAGGCTCTTAGTCTCTTCCCCTGGCCCACCTCTTATGGGCCACATGGTGATCACAAGTCCTGTGTGGAAGCCCTAACTCCTAGCATCTTAGAACAGAACTATACGTGGAGATAGGGCCTTTGAAAGGAATTGGGTTAAGGGAGGTTATTAGGCTGGAACCCCAACCCAGTGTGACTTAGGTCCCTGTACAAAGAAGAGATTCAGAAACAGACACACGGAAGAGACCAGGTAAAAACTCAGGGATAAGAGGGCCATCTACCCAGAACATCAAAAGCCAGGACACCTTAAAGCCACTTGCACATCCATGTTCATTGCTGCACTAGTCACAACAGCTAAGTTATGGAAATAGCCCAGATGCCCTACAGTAGAAGAACGGAACAAGAAAATGGGGTGCCTACACACAACGGGATTTTACTCATCCAGCAGAAATAATAAGGTCGTGTCATTTGCAAGGACATGGATGGCCCTTGAACAAATCGTGTCAAGTGAGGTAAGCCAAGCTCAGAGAGACAAATGGCAGGTGTTTTCTCTCATGTAAGGAAGCTAGATCAAAATACAACCATGCATGTCAACATGCAGGAGTCAATGCCTTCACACACAGATAGACTAAAGGAGGGTACACTAAAGGAGGCGTGATTCCTCCCAGCAACAGATGTACTTACTGTCCATCAAAATGAATACCAGGAAGTGGAAACATGCTTTGGGGAATGGACAAAGGGTGTGTGTGTGTGTGCAGGAACAGAGGGAGGAAGAGTGGTCAAATGTACTCATTATATCTGATGTACATTATGGAAAAAATGAGCTGTGTAACTTAAGGATGGGTACGCGAGGGCAAAGGGGAAGAAGGAAGAACGGGATGATGATCAGGACTCATAACGTGACCGAGGGGACGGTAACCTCTTCCTACAACTACTTAATAATAACAACTTAAAAAAAGAAAGAAAAAGCACCAGTGGCTCACGCCTGTCATCCTAACTACTCAGGAGGCTGAGATCTGAGGATCGCGGTTCAAAGCCAGCCGGGGCAAGAAAGTCCATGAGACTCCTATCTCCAATGAACCACCAGAAAACCAGGAGTGGTGCCGTGGCTCAAGTGGTAGAACACTGGCCTTGAGCTGAAGAGTGCAGGGACAGCGCCCATACCCAGAGTTCAAGCCCCATGACCTACTAAAAAAAAACGAAAAAGAAAGAAAGAAAACCCCAACCCTACTGATGGCTACGTTTTAGGTTTCCAGCCTCTGGAATAGTGGAGAAATGAATTTATGTTGTTGAGGCCACCTGGTCTGTGTGCACAGCCCTAGCAAACAGTGCCGCATGGTAAATAACTCCTTCGAACAAGCTCAAGACTTGGGCTGTGCTGTCACTTCCTTCTGGGATGTTCCTCACACAGCTAATACACCCACAGCTACCATCAGATGTCTTTCCATTAGCCCCATGGGGCTCATCTCCAAGATGCCATTTCAAAGAGGGTACATTTGCCGACATTGAGGCCGTGAATTCCTCTCCCCCTGAAATTCTGTCAGACTCACTTGTACAACAAGGTATTCAAACCAAAAGAGTTCCCAACAGGGAAGCCAGGCCGGGCCAACGGGCCACGTGCATCAGCGGGGTTTCTGTGACCGGTCTTTCCTGGTCGCCCATCCCTGATCTTGTCACTTCCGTCCTCTTACTCTGGAGCCCGGATGGGGCGGGACTGCAGCTCAGGGAGTCTCTGTAGGTGCTGCACAGGCATTTGACAGGCTGTCACAGGGGTCGGGGGTCCCACGGAGGCATGAGGAAGCCAGGCAAGATGAGCTGGAACTTTCAGCGGGGAGCTGCCGCTTAGGGACATCTAGGGAGAAATAGAGTGTCATTAGGAGGCAGGTTACTGACACATGGAAAGAAGCTATGGCAATGCAGGTGAGTTCATGCGATGGCAGGGTGGGCGAGGGTGGCTGACAGCGTCACCCCCCACCATGCGATCTGCACGCTACCCTGCTCCTAAGAAATCCTCCAGTCTCCAAAATGTTTCACCAACATCATTTTCTTTGGACCTCAAGAAAGTCACGTGAGGTAGGGAGGTATTAATCATCGTCATGATACAAGTAAGCGACTGAGGAGCGGGTTCCACACGGACAGCCTGCGTTGGCGTGGTTCAAACTCACAGCTGGGTCTGGAGACTTGTGATGAGCCATGCTTTCTGGAACAGTGTTCTATGCATCGGTACTCACAGCTCTTCTCTCCCAAGAGGCCTGTGGCACAGGGTGACGTCCAACCCCAACTCACAGTGACAAAGGATTTCTCCATGACATCTGGCCATGCACAGGAAAAGGAAGAGGGACAAATAGAGAGAAAGAAAGGATAATGCAAGCTGAGCTTGTAAGAAGAGAGAAGGAAGGTTTTTTGGGGGGAGCGGTGTACTGAGGATTAAATTCAGGGTGCATACTAGGCAAGCACTCTTATCATTTGTGACATGCTCTCAGCTCTTTTTTGTTTTAGTTATTTATTTTTGTTCCAGTCCTGGGGCATGAACTCAGGGTCTAGGTACTCTCCCTTAGCTTTTTCCTTCAAGGCTGGGGCTCTACTACTTGAGCCACAGCTCCATGTCCAGCTTTTTAGTGGTTAATTGGAGACAAGAGTCTCGTGGACTTTTCTGCCCAGGCTGGTTCTGAATTGTGATCCTTAGATCTCAGCCTCTTGAGTAGCTAGGATTATAGGCATAAACTACTGGTGCCCAGTCCAGTGCGACAGTGAGAGAGAGGAGAGAGAGAGAGAGAGAGAAAGAGAGAGAATTGAAGCTTGTCCTTTGGGCCTCTTGATCAAAGCTGGCACTCTACCATGTGAGCTACAGCTCTTTTTCAGGTTTTTGCTGATTAATTGGAGATGCTGGTTAATTGGAGATAAGAGTCTCACAGGTTTTTCTGTCCAGGCTGGCTTTGAACTGCAATCCTCAGATCTTAGCCTCTTAAGTAGCTAGGATTACAGATGTGAGCCACAGGCACATTCTGTTCTGAATGGAACCTTGTATCTCCTAACAAGCCTGCACGCCCCTTGTGAGCAAGGCTTCCATCTTCTCGTTCCCTGACTCTCCAGGTGTCTGCTCACAGAAAATCCAGAGGTGAGGGGAAAGCCGCAAGTGGCTGAGGGAAAAGGCGGGGAGAAACAGGAGCAAATGATCTTCCCTTAAGTTTTCCATGCTGTTTTAAGGTCCTGTGAAGCGGGGATGGGCGGAAGGTAAGGGAATGCACTGGAGTGTTCCTTTGTGCTGGGTTGGGAATGCTGGAGATAAAGTAATAAGTGTTGAATGAAGGAAAAGCCTGTGATAACAAGAACCAGCGAGTCACACCTTGGCTGTAACACTTTCAGATCTAATCCTGTTAACTACAGTTGCTTCTCTGTCACTGCTTTTAAGGAACCCCTGGGCCTGGGGGGAGGGGGGGGGGAGTTCACAGGCCCAGGCAGGCCGCTGGCAGCTCTCCATGTTCACAGCGCGCAGTCCCAGGTCCCAGGGCTCCCCGGCCCTGCCCCTGCGTGCGCTCTGGGGGCTCCTCACCAGTTCTCCAGACTCCTTGAGTTCTCTCTTCTCCAAGATCAGCTCAGACACTCGATGGAAGACAAAAGACAATATGGAAGGAGCAGGGGAGTTAGAGAAATGAGGTCTTGTTCGTGTTTGGGCCTCTCACCACAGCCTGCATACACCACAGTGGTCTTAGGTTGCGGGTTTACCTGAAGCTGCCCACTGGCAGCTCAGGAAGGCAGAGAGAAAAATATACTTGGCAATGGAAGACTTGGGACAGGCACTGATGGCCCAGGAAGTGGGCCAAGAAACAGGATCCTGCAGAATTCCAATAATCCCAGTGTCCAAAGCATGCCTTTACATTTCTCATCTACTTCCTTCCAGTTAAGGACTTAGCAGCTGGGAGCTGGGTGGCTCAAGCCTGTCATCCTAGCTACTCAAGAGGCTGCCATCTGAGGATCCCAGTGTGAAGCCAGCCTAGGAAAGTCTATGGACTCTTCCCTTCATTAAACTATCAAAAGAGCTGAAAGTGGAGCTGAGGCTCAAGTGGTAGAGCACTAGCTTGAGCAAAAGAAGCTCAGGGACAGTGCCTAGGGTCTGTGGCGGGGAGGGGGAAAGCAAACTTATCTAAAAAATATCCTAAAGCTAACAGGGTTGGGGACCTGGCTCAAGTGGTAGAGTGCCTAATGTCCTAGCAAGCACGAGATTCTGAGTTCAAACCCAGTACCAATAAAAATAAAAGAAGGTAAGACCTGGGAGGCAGAGGTCGGAGGATGGAGCTCTGAGGTCAGGTATCAGAGCTCACAGTTTCACAGTGGCTGCTGTCTGTCATCCTCAGCCACACAGTGAAGCACAAGGAGCAAGGCTGGTGGCCCAGGCTGGCCGGGGTACAAAGCAAGACCAACTCAGAAGGAGTGGAAGGAAGAACTCAAGTGGTAGAAGTCTGTCATGGAAGCACAAGCCTCCGTACCAACTCAGGGAGAAAAAGAGAAGAAAGCAGAAGTGTTTTTGTTTGCATCCCAGGACTGAACGGATTCACAAGGCTTTCCACGGGGATCTTAGTGGAGAAGCCCCCCTTCCCTCCCCCACCCCCAGTCTGTCACTGAGCCCAGAAAGCTGCTCAGACCTGTCTGGTCACCTTTGTGTGTGTATATGGGGGGGTGCAGAGAGGGGAGCCCTAATTTGGTCAATATTTATAAGGATGATATTTCCTTTTCCTTCTCCCAGGTTCTAGAAAACAGAAGCAAGGTGTTAGGCAGAAATAATCCACAAGGTTTAAAAAAATCCTTCGGCCTGTCTTTGTTCTTAGTTTGTCTTGGGGTAAAACTGTCCTGGCAGAGGAGGATTAGGCAAAGTTAGCTGCGACTTTGAAATTTAAAACCAAGATAATGCGTTTACACCACTCAGCCACCCAAGTGGCTGACTAAGTAGAGCACGCTGCAGGTCAGGCACACGCCATGATGTCTGGACAGCTTGCTAAGGATGATGCTCACACACACACACACACACACACACACACACACACACACACACACACGAACACTCTATGTAGACACACATATGTATTTTGTTTCGGTAGTTCTGGAGTTTAAGCCATGCCATTCATCATTTTTGCTCTGGTTATTTCTTGAGATAGGGTATTACTTTTTGCCCAGTACTAGCCTGGACCAAGACCCTCTTTATTTACACTTCCTGCTAGAGCTGGGATAATAGACATGAGTCACCATGCCCAGATACTGGATGTCAAGGGAGCATGTCTTGCAAACTTTTTGCCTAGGTTGGTCTCAAACGTTGATCTTCCCAATCTCTGTTTCCTGAGTAGGTAGGATTACAAGCAAGAGCCACAGTGTCTAGCCATATCTATCTATCTATCTATCTATCTGTCTGTCTGTCTGTCTGTCTGTCTATCTATTTATCTATCCATAGTAAGGTAAACATGTCCCTACTGATATGTATAAAACTAAGAATATTACATATTTTACAAACTCAATCTCTCCTATATAAATCCTAAATCGAAGGTAATTTGTGTCAAATATTTCAGTTTAACTTTAAATAAAAACAAATAGCCATTGGGCCTTTGTCTAAGCAGTCAGTGACAGGGAAGGGAGTAAAGTCATTCCAGTGGGAAACGCCAAGATAATTTATTGTTTAGCACTATAAAACAAGAGGCGACAAGTCAGAACAAGCACACAGCACACACTCTCTTAGCTACAAAGGAGGAGTCTGAACACTCTAAGTGCAGTCCCTTGCGAGAGGGTATTTTGCCACTCTGATGATGATGATGATGATGATGATGATTTTGGTACTGGTCCTGGGGCTTCAACTCAACTAGTCCCTGAGCTTCTTTTGCTCAAGGCTAGCACTCTACCACTTGAGCCACAGTGCCAATTTTGGCTTTTTCTGGTGGTTAATTGGAGATAAGAGTCTCTCAGACTTTTCTGCCTGGGCTGGCTTTGAACCATGATCCTCAGATCTCAGCCTTCTGAGTAGCTAGCACTACAGATATGAGCCTGGCGCCCAGCGCACTCAGAGTCTTTATCCACATGGTCTTTTCTCCCTCAGGTACCGAAGCTAACAACCAAGCTGTGCTTGGCAGGCACGGTGTGCACACAGCCCAGATCCGGTCCTAATGAGTCCAACACACTCATGCTCTTCAGTCTAGGTCTGTGGGCGACATGGAGGAGGAGCTGGTACAGGAAAACATGGGCCAGAAAAGGTTCCAAATTACCCAAAGGTCTCAAGAAGAAATCTGGGGGGAGATCAAGGCACAAGCCACAAGGCCCCAGTTCCACAGGCTGCTGTTAGCACCTTCCACGGTGGGGCTGCTCTGGGCCCTCTGTCTGTCTCACTGGAATCCTTCCTTGGATTTGCAGGTGGTCATTCACTGTTGCTGCTACTGCAGGTAGAAGTATCCCTTATCTGAAATGCTTGGGATGGGAAATGTTTGGGACTCTGGAATCTTTACGTATATACAGTAAGGTATCTTACAGAGAGGAGTCAAGGTTCCATAGGAAATGCATCTAGGTTTTAGATATGCCTTTCACACATAACCTGAAGGAAATTTTACAGAATATTTCAGTGTTTTGAGTGTGACTGATGGCAGGGGGTCAAGGGTGGGATCTTCTAACTTGTGGGGTCGTCATAGCACTCAAAAAGTTTTGGATTTTGGACCAGGCACAGTGGCTCACACCGATAATCCTAGCTAGTTGGGAGACAGATCAAGAGGAGAACAGCTCCAGGCTACTCCAAGCAAAAAAGCTCATGAGACCCCATCTCAGCCAATAGCAGGTGGGCCAATGGCATGTCTATCTCCCAATTGCAGCATAAATGCGAAGACTTTGAGGGTTGTGGACCGGGCTGGCCCAGGCAAAAAGCAAGGATGTATGATAAAAATAACCACAACAAAAAGGGCTGGTGGTGTGGCTCAGGTGCCGGAACAGCTGCCTAGCAGCAAGCAGATAATCCAGTACTATCAGAAAAAGAGGAAAAGATGTGAGAGAAACCAATTCTTACTGGCTTAAAATTACAATTCACAAATGTAGTAGGAATTACCACATATGCTTGTGTGTGTGTGTGTGTGTGAGTGTGTGAGAGTCCTGGGGCTTGAACTCAGCCCTGACGTTTTTCGTTTGTTTTATTTTCTCAAGGCTAGGACTCTACCACTCGAGCCACAGGTCCACTTCTGGCTTTTTGGTGGTTAGTTGAAGAATCTCACGGACTTTCCTTTCCAGGTGGGCTTCAAACCACCATCCTTAGATCTCAGCCTCCTCAGTAGTTAGGATTAAAGGTGTAAGCCACTGACAGCTGAATTTTTTAAAAATCATAACTGGTGGTAATATGGATTTTTTTAATTAAAAAAACTTGATTATCAAGATGATGTACAGAGGGGTTATAGTTATATAAGTCAGGTAAACAGTACATTTCTTTTGGACAGTGTCACCCCTTCCCTCGCTCTCCCCCAGTTTTTCTCTCCCATCCCCCCACACAAATTGTTTAGTTCATTTTCAGCATAGTGTCTAGTGAGTATCACTGCTGCATTTGTTATCCTTTGTTTCTCCATTTCTGTGCCCCCAAAGACAGATAAAGGAACAAACAAGACAAAAAGAAGGCAAAAACAACACCAAAGTGGAAGAAACTTGTTTCCATTTTCTGGAGTTCACTTTGATATTTTATATGAAGAGATGCACATAGACATTGCAACTTAGTGATCCTCTCCCAAGAGTCTCCTCCTTTGGTCTCACTGTGTGAATGCCTAGAGTCCTATATACTTGTATACTTTATTATGTGCATTTCTTGATACTTATAAAATTCTCACAAGAAGTCCCAGAAGCCGCAAAGCATTAATGATGAGATCTAATTTTTATTCCCATCTTTCTACCAGTTGTTCGCACCAAATGGCACTTAGATGAAGCGATTATGACTCAGGCAGCCCCTGAGGACCTCGTCTAGAATTGAGAGCAGAAGAGAAAATTAGCTCCCTTTCAAAGTCTCACCTATTAAACAGAGGAAGCCTTGCACTTCGGCAACACCGGCTGATGTCAAATGGTCTCCCCGGGGACGTTTCTCTTTTTAGACAGAAATCTCTTCTCTATAGCTCCAAGTAATAATAAAAGGAAGATGGTTTTCCAGCCTGATGATCACAGCCTAGGGAGGTGGCCTGAGGAGCAGTCTTTGTACTCTCGTGCACTTCTGTGCTTTTTTCTCTTCCAGACCTTTCCACTTGACAAAGCTTCTCCAGCCACCAAACCCCTTCTGCCATGATAGACGTCTCAGCCGGTTTCAGACAGTCTTCTGCTCAATGCCTATAGACTTTGCCACTCAGCACTGGCTCCTTGGAGTCTTACCAGACTCTCCAGGTCTTCCTGAACGTGCCCGCTCCTCCAAAACCTACCAAAACTATGGAGGAGCTGAGTGCCTGTGGTTCAGACCTGTAATCCTAGCTACTCAGGAGGCTGAGATGTGAGGATCCAGCTTTGAAGCCAGCAGGAAAAGTCCTTGAGATTCTTATCTCCAATTAACTACCCAAAAAGCTGGAAGTGGAGCTGTGGCTCAAGTATTAGAGCACCAGCTTTGAACAAGAAAGCTCAGGAACAGTGTCCAGGCCCTGAGCTCAAGACCCTGGCCTGGCACAATAATACAACAATAACAACTACAACAAAACCAAATTACAACCATGTAGAGACTCCCCTGTCTCCTTTTCCTTTCCCATTTCCCTCCCTCCCTTCCTTCCTGTTGTACTAAAGACCGAGCTCACAGCCTTAAGCTTACTCTATAAATGAACGAGGCCTCCTGCCTTCCCTTTTGCCTTGGTTACTTTCAGCGTGGGATCTCGCTTGATGAGTGACAGGAGTATGGGCTTGGGCCATGGTGCCCAGCTGATGTGGGGATTTTCTATCAAACAAAGTCAGGAGTGTCTCCATTGGAATCACACCTGGGCTGTATCTACCATAACAAATGTAGCTCTAGGGCCAAGCTAGCAAATGTTCTCCTTAGCACGCCTAACTGGATTGCCTCAGCTTGCTCTCCTCCCGCTCGCCCATCCAGGATTTCTTCACTTTCACAGCTGTCTTACATCACGCTGGTGACCTGTTTCCCCTGCGGTCTGGCTCTATGCAGCCTCCTGCAAAGGGCCACAGGCATCCTTGTAACTCTAACCAACCATGCTCCTCACAGGCCAGCACATGAGTCAAAGGCTACAACAGACTTTTGCCTAGCGCATTATACGCTCTTCAGCAAAACTGCTACACATTCCTAGCAACTGTACTCAGCATAGTTACAAAACTAATAGCAGTAGGTAGCTGTGATCATGGGCTTTGTTTACTAATAGCTAACTGTTGTCTCTCATTGCTTAATTTTCTCCTGGTTTCCTTTTTAGCCTTCATTAGCACGACTTTTTAGCTTTTTAATTTATAATGCATATTTGAACTTAAGCCATTTCTGCCAGTATTTTCCAGATGGCTAACGTAAGTCAAAGGCCTATGTGGGACGGCTCCTGATTTTTTTTTTTTAAGCAGGAGAAACATCTGACTGTGCTGATCATTTGCCAGTATACATTTTTATCTTTTTTCAAATGTTCTGTTTTTCTCTGAGCTACTCTGCTACTCCTTGCCTAGTGGAGGTGGAAGTACTTCATAATGACCCGCCTGAAAAGCCTCATACAGTTATTTTTCACAATTAATGGTTTCACCTGCAATTTTACTGCTTGGCTCAAAGCTTTCTGTTCCTTTGGTTGCCTACACATCTTGGTGATAAGCTTTCCTACCAACAAATGAGCCCTTCTATTTTAAGAAGCTCATCTTTGGCTCTTATTATTACATATAAACAGAAAGTAATAAGAGAACAGAGAACGGAGCTCTGAAAATGATTTGTTCATCAGTACTTACGTACAATGCTCCCCATTGTCATCTATTTTATATTCATTGTCCTGGCAAGGACAATGACAAGGTAAGGACTTTTTAATTCCACCCCTATTTCCTTTTCTTTTGCTCCCCAAACTCCTTGATGTGTTAAAAGGGATTCCCTGGGGTCCAGATCCACAATTTGAGTAGCTCTGCTATGAATTACATAACATACCCTAGTCACAATTAGTGACTTTATTTAGGTAGTCATTTAGCTGTTTTTTTAATCAGAGAAAGAAAAGTTCTTAATTTATTTTTTCACTTCCTTGCCTCTGTTCCATAGGACTCAGAGCAGAAGAAGAAAAAAACCAAGGATAAAAAGACACCCTCTATCCTGGAGCTGGTGGCTCACACCTGTAATCCTAGCTACTCAGGAGTCTGAAATCTGAGGATGGAGGTTTGAAACCAGCCAGGGCAATAAAATCTATGAGACTCTTATTTTTACTAAACTACCAAGGAAGTCAGAAGTGGAGCCGTGGCTCAAGTAGTAAAGTGAGCAAAAGAAGCTCAAGGATAGTGGCCAGGCTTAGCTCAAGCCCCAGATCACATACACACACATACACACACACACACACACACACACACACACACACACACACACACACACACTGCTCCCTGTGTATTATGCAAGTTTATACACATCAACTTATCTGGTCTTTCTTTTTAAAACAGCCAACTGGAATAGAGGATCAGATTAAAATCTCCCAGGTCTCATAGCTCATCAGAGAGTCAGAGGCAGAACCCAAGATTTAAACAAGCACTTGATGCCTTCTGATTCAAAATGCAAATCCAATTTCACAAATACAATTAGCAATCAGGCAATTTTCATAACATGGTAGATGTCTTATAAGGGAAACTTACCAGTGACTGTGCTTTTCTTAGTCTAGCTCTGTCCTGCAGCTGGTTTTTCTTAGAACGTGTCTGTAGGCTGAGGTCTGGGGTCACTTCATTTTTTTTCCTTTGTCTGTAATTGCAAAGAAATAGGTAAATGATAAATGATCATTTTTAAAACTGGGATGATTTGCATAGATATTTGTTTGATTTATGTTGCCCTAGGGACTTAAAAGGTGCCTTCACCCAACTAGAAATAAGCCAAATGTCTATCAATAACGAGCAGGAGGAATAAGCTCTGGCACATCCTCATAGGGACTACAATGACCTGTGAAAAGAAAGCAAATTTTTCTTTTTTTTTTTTTTTTTGGGTCCGGTCGTGGGGCCTGAACTCTGGGCCTGGGCGCTGTCCCTCAGCTCTTCAGCTCAAGGCTAGCGCTCTACCACTTGAGCCACAGCGCCACTTCCAGCTTTTTTTTTTTTGCTTATGTGGTGTTGAGGAATCGAACTCAGGGCCTCAGGCATGCAAGGCAAGCGCTCTACCACTGAGCCACCTTCCCAGCCCCAAGAAAGCAAATTTTTCTATAACAAGCTCTCCATGATATAAATGTTACACGGAGCTGGGCGCCGGTGGCTGAGATCTGAGGATCTTGGTTCAAAGCCAGCCCTGGCAGGAAAGTCCATGAGACTCTTATCTCCAATAAACCAATAAAAAAACCGGAAGTGGCACTGTGGCTCAAGCGGTAGAGCGCTAGAGCGCTCACCTTGAGCTGAAGAGCGCAGGGTTCAAGCCCCAGGACTGACAAAAAAAAAAGTTAAATGGAAAAGTGCAAGATGAATTATTGTATGTTGAGTTCCATTTCAGAAATGATTTACTTAAAATATAATATACACTATTTGCTTGTACTTTCAAAAAAATTTGGCCATATATATGTATATATGGTCGGTTCTGGTGCTCGAACTCAGGGCCTGAGCACTGTCCCTGAGTGTTTTTGTGCTCAAGACTACCACTTGAGCCATTTTGCCACTTCAGTTTTTGAGTGGTTAGAGATAAGACTCTGCTCTGGCTTCAAACAGCGATCCTCACATCTCACCCTCTTGAGTAGCTAGGATTACAGGCATGAGCCACTGGCTCCTGGCCATATTTTTTAAAAGGGAGATTACACCTTGCATTTTTGGAAAATGTTTCTCTGTATTGTGGAGAGATAGGGACTTCAAATCTGCCTTATCTGGTCTGCTTCACTTAGAATCCATCTGCATGTTCCTCAAAAATATAAGCCAAGGTAAAGACTTCAGGTTTAGGCAAAATCCCTATAATCTGAAGAGCAAAAGAAAACAAAGGATTTTGTCCATGGAGCTGGAGGCAGTAACATTCCTGTGACTTGCACACAATTATTTGAGTATTCTTAGAAGAATATCTCCAAAAGATGAAAATGCTGGCAAATCTTCAGCTGTTTTCAGTAATGTTGTTTGTGTCAATACCAGCATTTGGGATAAAGCCGGGGTCTTCAATTTGGCCTGACTCACAGGCCACATTTGCCTATGCCTATAAATAAAGTTTTATTGGAACACAGTCATGCTCGTTTTTTTTTTCTTGCATGGTGTCTGTGGCTATATTCAGCCTTCAACAGCAGAGCTAAGCAGTTGTGCCAGAGATTAACCATATGTCCTGAAAAGCCTAAAATATCTCATGCCTGGCCCTTTACAGAGATTTGCCTGAAATAATGGGTGTAGGTGGAGCTTCCATGGTTACCAACAACACAAAAAGAGAAACAACCAGAACGTATGTGCCTTATAGGAGACGTGCATGTGGCTGCTTACATGCTCTGACGGGGATGATATAACACTGCCCAATGGTGGTGCTGTCTGGAGTCCAGAATGTGGGAGACTCTACAGAATTGGTGGGGAGAAGGGGAGGGAGGGAGGGAGGGAGGGAGGAAGGGCGTACGGAAGGAAGGAAGGCAGGCAGGCAGGAAGGCAGGTATAGACCAAAGCAAGAACAAAGTGATACATGGATCAACTGTAATATGGAAACCTTATCTGGAATCCATATTAACATTTCTGCCATTGCTGTAGAGGGTTTTTTTTTTGTCCCTCTTCCCCTTCTTTGTGCTGGTCCTGGGGCTTGAACTCAGGGCCTGGATGCTGTCCCTTACCTTTTTTTTTTTTTCCTCAAGGCTAGCACACTACCATTGGAGCCACAGCTCAATTGGAGATAAAAGTCACAGACTTTCCTGCCCAGGCTGGTTTTGAACTGTGATCCTCAGATCTCAGCCTCCTGAGCAGCTAGTGCTGAACACCTTTTCTATTTATTTTTTTAAATTATGACCTCATCATGTCTCTTAAGACTAGAACTTTCTTCCACCTCTCTCTCTCTCTTTTTAAACTCCCATGGTACAGATTTTTTGAGGCCCGATCCAAAACTCGTATGGAGTGTACGACCTTCTTGTTTCCTCTCCTCATTTCCTCATGCTGTCATTTGCTGTGCCTTTGACTGTTAGAGAACAGGAAGTTAGGCTAGAGTTCTGGTTAAGGGTAGATTAGTCTCCTAAATTATTCTGATAAAGAAGTTAGAAGGATTTGGAGCTTCTTACCTTTGCCAGACAGGCTCAGGATCACAATTGTCTAGATAATTAAAGCGAATGATATCAGTAGGATGTCTATCAGAGGATCGCCAAGGTGGGAGTGCCTTCTCTCCTGGGCTAGTCTTCTTTTTTAAAGAGGAGGAGGACCAGAAGGCTGATGAGGGAGAATGCTTTCCTTCTGAAGAATTGCTCGTCACAGGCCGCACATCAGCTACAATAAATCCATCTTTGGGAGGAGTCTAGAAGAAGACAATTTATCATGTCTGCTCTCAAAGTCCTGGGATAATAATGACAACAGTGAAACAAAGAATATCATGATCATCATTTCCACCCCAGCATCATCGTTACCATGGTAACAACAATGGTGATGAACAGCCCCCACCTTAGAAGTTCTTGCCATGTTCCAGGCCCTTTCTCAAGCAGTTTTCATGAACTGTGTTATTTAACCTTGATAGTAACTTTATAAAGTAATGATTATTGCTCCTGTTTGACAAAGGAGGAAGCCCAAGACAGGAGAAAGCAGTTAATTTATCACCAGAACATCAGGAGAATTTGCATGTAGATTTCAAACCCAGATTTTCTTGTTTTGAGGTACTGGAGACTGAACTCCTTTGAGTTTGCTAGGCAGGTTTGCTAGGCTTCTCCTCCAGCCCCTTTTTGTGTTGGTTATATTCAAAGTAGGCTCTGGCTTTGTTTTGTGCATGGGCAGGCCAGGATGCCATCCTTCTACCTGTGCTTCTTTGTATCATTAGAGATGACAGGCAAGCACCAGTGTGCCAGTCAATGGTCACCAACTTTTATGCCCATGACGTCCTCAAACCTTGAATCTCCAATGGCTACTTCCCAAGTGGCTAGGACTAGAGGTGTGATATACCCACACCTGGCAAACTGAGGATTATTTTCCTTCAAACCCATGCACCAAATTTCCTAGTCATCTGTTCCAAGCTTCTCTATACATCATTGTCTACTGTTACTACTGCATACTGATTTATTAATAAAATACACTTTATAGCTGGGTGTCCTGGCTCACACCTGTAATGCTAGGTATTCAGGAGGCTGAGATCCAAGGATCACAGTTCAAAGCCAGCCGAGGAAGGAAACTTGGAGAGGTGTGTGTGTGTGTGTGTGTGTGTGTGTGTGTACATATATACTTTACAAAAAAAGGTATTACAGTCCTAAACTGTAAGCCCAGAGACAATTTCAAGTTGCACAGGGGTACCATAGATTTGATCCATTATCCAAACCTCAACCACTCCCCAAAAATACTTCTGCTTAATTTCCAAAATTGAAAGTATGTCTTTTGTGTGCAATTCATGAGGTTGTAGCCTGAGGGGAGTGGTACCGGTATGTTGGAAGCTATTAAGAGCTTAATTTTTTTTCATTAAGAGATTAAGAAAGGTTTGCTCAGTAAATTGTTTGCTTCAGTTGTTTGTAGAAATTATTTCCCGGTTGGAGTTGGGGGTGTAGTTTATTTCTGTCATAGGACAACACAATATTCATGATTATAATCACAATATTGGTTTATGTTTGCCCTGGGCTACTAGACGCGGCTCTGTGAAAACAGCATTAGGATATTTTCTTTTTTTTTCTTTGGATAGATATGGGACTTGAACTCAGGTCCTCAGTACTGTCCCTGAGCTCTTTTGTTCAAGGCTAGTGCTCTATCACTTTGAGCCACAGCATTGCTTCTGGATTTTTGAGTGGTTAATTGGAGACAAGACTTTTTTGCTTGGGTTGGCTTAGAAACATGTTCCTCAGATCTCAGCCTCCTGAGTAGCTAGGATTACAGGCATGAGCCACCGGCTCTCAGCAGCATTAGGATCTTTAATAAGCAGTTTTTTAATAAATATTGACTCATTTAAAATTATTAGTAGCAAGTTAAGAAGACATTTCATGTTTGTATAATTAAATATTTCATGCAAGTTCCATTTAGAATGGATGTACTAAACAAAGAGATGGCAATTTTCTGTGTGCAAACTCTCCTGTGTGCCTGTCCTGGGGCTTGAACTCAGGGCCCAGGTGCTGTCCCTGAGCTTTTTCACCCACAAAGCTAGTGCTCTTGACTTGTGTCACAGTTGCACTTGAACTTCCAGCTTTTTGGTGGTTCACTGGAGATGAGAGTCTCATGGTTTTCCTACCCTAGGCTGGCTTAGAACTGTGATTCTCAGATCTCAGCCTCCTGAATAGTTAGGATTTGAGGCATGAGCCACTGGCACCTGGCAACTTAAGACAAAAACCAATGAGCTGGAGGCTTGCCACACAGTAGTAGAGTGTCTGCCTAGCCAAGTGTGAGGCCCTTTGTTCCCACCCCAGTACCACCAAGAAAAATAAAGAACTTATGCTTGATACCTACTAAATGCTTCAACTATTGGGGTTTGAACTCGGGGCCTCACACTGGGGCCATGTCCCCAGCCCCTTCTTTTGTGCTATTATTCAGGTTTGTTTTCCTTTTCACAGGTAAGATGTCAAGATTCTTTTCTTAGCTGGCCTTGGACAGTGATCTTTCTACCTATAACTCCCATGTATCTTGGATTACAGGTATGTCTCACCACACTTGGCCTATTAGTTAAAACAGGAATTTCACTAATTTTTTTGCCCTGTTGACCCTGAACCTTGATCCTCCCACTCTCTATCTCCCAAGTTGCCAGGATTCTAGGTGCACATCACTATAGTCATTAAATTTATGAGTTTTAGCTAGGTGCTTGGTGGGATATGCCTGTAACACCAGCTACTCGAAAGTAGAGGACAGAGGACTCTGAGTTCAAGGTAAGTCAGTGCTATAGACCTCATTATAAAAAAATTAATTAATTAACTTAAGATGACAAAGCTGTCTTTTAAAAAGAAATCTTTATGAGGCACCCCAACTACCAAAATTAAGATGATTAGTTCTATCATTTTAATTGTAGCAGTATTAATTATGCATAATTCATTACTACATAACTGTAGATGAAATCTACTTTTTAAAAAACACAATTAAGAAAACACAATAAAACCTGAAGCTAAATGGAGTTTAGTTAAGAGTTGCCTATTCATATTTCAGAAAGATCCTTCAAATTTTAAAAAAGATTCACTGCAGTGTTTTTGCAGATTATGATAGCTTGTGGTTTTTAAAATCATTTAAACATTAAATGACACATAATTTTTCAGCAGCTCATCTATTATCCAAAATAATGTACAGCATGGCATGCATATAGGCAGCATCATAAACAAAGGCACATAAAAACATTCATACATTATATAACCAGCTTTGACTACAGGAATGAATATAAAGCATTGCAATGCATTGAAAGCCACAAGAAAAACTCTTCTTGCATTATTTACGCTTGATGATTACCTACAGTCTGTGGCTTGGAAAGGAACACTAAATGTATCATTCTACTCTTCCCTCATGAGCACTTGAATGGAGAACTTTATCATAGAAATGATGGAAAAATTAGCTTCAGGGCTGGAGAAGCAACTCTGTGATAGGGCTGGCCAAGTGTGTGGGAGGCCTGGGTTTAATGTCCAGCAGAGTAAAGTGACCAATAAACTTCAGCTCACCTTGTGGAACCAGAGCAAATTTGATTTAGTATGGTCACAAACACTGCCCATTACCCAGAGTTTCTGTCACAAGTATCCAAGTTAGAGACACAGAGATGGGGGTGAGGGTAGAGTGGGAAGCCCCTCCCCTGACCCTGACCTCTTGGAGGGTGTCAGGGAAAGTCTATTAACTAACGTGGACTATGCGTCTCAGAAAAGAAGCATTTTGGAATTATAGTGCATTTCCTTTCAAGTGTTTCTCTTTCCAAACTTCAAGTTTGACCATTTACTGTAATTGACATAAATATCATGCCTTTTCTTCTTAGTGCCCGTACTGGGGCTTGAACTCAGGGCCTGGCACTACTGTCCCTGAGCTTTTGTGCTCAAGGTTAGTGCTCTACCACTTGAGTCACAGCTCCATTTGTGGCTTTTTGCTGGTTAACTGGAGATAAGAGGCTCATGGACTTTCTTGCCTAGGCTGGCTTTGAGCCATGATGCTCAGATCTCAGCCTCCTGACTAGCTAGGATTAAAGGCTTAAGTTTCTGGCACTCAGCTTGGGTGTGCTTCTCTTCCTGTAGAGTTTACCTTGGGCTTGGTGACATGAAGTTCTCTCACCATGTGAATATAGTGCTTCTTCCACACCCCCTGCTCAAAGGGAGTTGGGGAGAAACCGATGCACCAGTTAAACCTTAAGCATTTGAGCATCCACAGCTGGTCCAACTCCGCTAAGTTCTTCCAGTGCCAGCTCACCTGAAAAACAATCACAGTTAAAAACAAAACCAGCCATGTAATTGTAACCCCTCTGTATGGTATTTTCACAATTAAAAAAAAAACAAAATAGGATTGGGAATGTGGTTTAGTGGTAGAGTGCTTGCCTAGCACACATGAAGCCCTGGATTCCATTCCTCAGTACTACATGAACCGAAAAAGCCAGAAGTGGCTCTATGGCTCAAGTGGTAGAGTGCTAGGCTTGAGCAAAGAAGCTCAGAGACAGTGCTCAGGCTCTGAGTTCAAGACTCAGGACTGGCAAAAACAAAAAAAATAAAGCTCTCCCAGTTCCTCTGCCCATTTTCCCCAGGTTTTGAGCTGTGATTCTGTACCTAAAGTATCTTGTGTTATTTTCCTCCAAATCCCAGCCTAAGTAGTTGTTTCTGCCTAGAGTACTTCTGTGCAGGCAAAAAGATCTCAATTCAGACTTAGCGTGAGTCAGCCAGAGTCAGCTAGCAACTAGGTACCTGTTAACCATCTTTCTAGCAATAGCTGAAGTACCAGAATTATTGTTTTGGGCTGGGAAGGTGGCTCAGTGGTAGAGTACTTGCTTGTATGCCTGAGGCCCTGGGTTCGATTCCTCAGCACCACATAAGCAGAAAAAAAAGCCGGAAGTGGCGCTATGGCTCAAGTGGTAGAGCGCTAGCCTTAAGCTGAAGAGCTGAGGGATAGCGCCCAGGCCCAGAGTTCAGGCCCACGACCGGACCCCCCTTCCCCCCTCCAAAAAAAATGAGTGGCTAGTTCCTTTTCTCAAGCCTTTGTGAACATACTGGGTCTCTTTCTGTGAACATTCGGGTGTCTTTCACGCTCTTTGTACTTTCTCATGAATACCTGTTAGTCTGCACTATACAACTTAGGTTTTATTGCAGTTGTATGCTATGCAATAGGACTGTCTTATTAAAGAACCATTTCTCACTGGATGCCTGTCTCCTCAGCTAACAAATAATTTTCTGAGGACACTCATCATGAGGATTGTGCTATATACAGAGTTAGACACAAAAGAGGCTGATGCTCTTTCAAACTGCACAGACTCAGCATGGGGAGTTTGGATTCAAGTCTTGGAAGCTCCTAAGTTGTCTTTACAATATGCCACACACCACTCTGTTGCCTTTACCTGGGCACAACGACAAAGGCTCCGGGGGTCTAGAAAGGAAAAGATGTAGACAGATAACACGCGGGGGAGGGTGGTAGTGAAATCCAGGGCTTCTGCTGGAATTTTCTCCTGCAGCTTTCGACAGCAGAACTTTTGCTGTGACAGGGAACAGCGTGCCAGCAGGCCAGCGAGGATTTTTCTCCTTTGAGAGTCTGTCCATTTGTCAAACTGGAAAGACAGCAAGGCAAGAGACAAAAAAGCTCCAGGGTTAGTCTGAGCAGAGATTCACTCTGAGGAAGAGACGGAATGACAAAGAAACCCAGCTAAGCAATGTATTGCCAACGTGTAGAGACTCTAGGGGCTGGGAAGGTGGCTCAGTGGTAGAGCGCTTGCCGTGTATGCATGGGGCTCTGAGTTTGATTCCTCAACACCACATAAGCAGAAAAAGCAGAAGTGGCGCTGTGGCTCAAGTGGTAGAGTGCTAGCCTTGAGCTGAAGAGCTGAGGGACAGCGCCCAGGCCCAGAGTTCAGCCCCCACAACCGACCAAAAAAAAAAAGAAAAGGAAGAGACTCTATCACCTGAGTGAGCCATTTTGCCAGAGGTCCTATCTCTCATGATAGGCCCTGGGAGATAAACTGGGGAAGATGGAGCTAGTTGCATTTTGTCTATCATTACATTATGTGTGTGTGTGTGTATGTGTGTGTGTGTGTGTGTGTGTGTGTGTGTATGTGTATATTTAGTACAGTTTATTACAGAGTAGCCAGAAATTTATAATGCATTTAACATGTGATCATGAACTACACTGCCTTTCTAAAAGGGCATAGAAAGTAAGCCTTATGATAATCAATTTTTTATAGCCATATGCTCTCTTTTTGTAATTAGTAACAATACTATATATCTTGATTAAAATTACTCAGTATTGGGGGCTGGGAAGATGGCTCAGTGGTAGAGTGCTTGCCTTGCATGCATGAGGCTCTGGGTTCGATTCCTCAGCACCACATAAGCAAAAAGAAAAAAGCCGGAAGTGGCGCTGTGGCTCAAGTGGTAGAGTGCTAGCCTTAAGCTGAAGAGCTGAGGGACAGCACCCAGGCCCAGAGTTCAGGCCCCATGACCGGACCCAAAAAATAAATAAATAAAATTACTCAGTATCATGGATCTAATCATTGGAATGAAAGTTACTTCAGAGACCATGATTCAAGGGTAGGAAGAAGACTTTGAATAAAATGAATACAAGAAAGAAAGAAAAAAATAAAGCAACATAAGAATAAAAATGATTTAAGGGGGCTGGGAAGGTGGCTCAGTGGTAGAGCACTTGCCTTGCATGCATCAGGCCCTGGGTTCGATTCCTTACCACCACATAAGCAGAAAAAGCCAGAAGTGGCACTGTGGCTCAAGTGGTAGAGCGGTAGCCTTGAGCTGAAGAGCTGAGGGACAGCGCCCAGGCCCAGAGTTCAGGCCCCATGACCGGACAAAAAAAAATGTTTTTTAAATGATTTATGCATGTGTGCCTGGTTTCTGTCATCTCTGCATCTCCAGCTCCCACAAACGGACACTTCTTTGCCAGTTCTCCTGGGATGGACTTTTAGGGGAAGAAGGAAATACCAGACTGGAACATCTGGAGCTGGGAAGAATCAAGCCCAAGGGGTAGAAGGAGACAGAAGCAGAGCTAAGAGGCTGGATTTTGATGGAGTCACATCAGCTTTGAGGCTTGAACTCAGGGCTTGGGCGCTATCCCCGAGCTCTTGCTCAAAGCTAGTTCTCTACTACTTGAACTACAGTTCCAGGTCTAGGTTGAGTGTTTTTTTTTTGCTTGTTTGTTTTTTGTTTTGTAGTTAATTGGCGATAAGAATCTCCCTAGAATGTTTCCTGCCTAGGCTGGCTTTGAACTGTAACCCTCAGATCTCAGCATTATATAGCTAGGATTATATGTGTGAGCTACTGGCACCCGGCTTTGATTGCTTTTATAGTAAGTGGGAGAGCATCAGAGAATGACAAAGGAGATTAGAGGAGTATATAGGTCTCAGTGTTGAAATGGACTTCCTATAATTTTCCTTGAGAGGTGAAGAAAGAATCTGTTGTTTGTTTTTTTTTTAACTCTATGTGATTGCATAGAGATTTGAGTTATGTGGGGACCCAGGAAGGCTAGGGTTACAAAACAAAATGCTACATGAGAAAATTTATTATCACTGCAAGAAATCAGACATAACTCAAAATGCCAGGCAGTAGGGGATCAGCTAAACAAACTGTAATATATCAACATGACAGGAAAAGTATGGCATTACGGTGGACTTGAGACTGAGTAATGGGGACTTGGGAATGGAAAAGAAGAAACAAAGTCGGGATGAAAAGCAACACAGAATGGTGTCTCAAGAAGCTAGGGTGGGGACAAAACTTCTCTTCCAAGCCACTACCTAGAAATGTGAACTTTGGCCACCTCTACCCTTTAACTGCCCAAACTTGGGTCCAGAGAATCAAGCTACATGAGGGGCTTATCAGCCTTCTGCTTACAGATATCCTCACTTGGTCTGAGCATTAAGTCATCATACATCCCTGCCCAGTAGTAGCCCTTGATGTGCGTGTGCATTGTGTTTGTGTTTTGTGTGTGTGTGTGGTGTGTGAATTTGTTTATGGGGGCATAAAACAGAAGTTGGGAAATGTTGCCCTGGAGTTGGGCTATGCTAGTTCTGTATTCTTTTCGACTTGTGTAGGAGTTCCCTTCTAAACAGTGTTCAGTATCTTGTAATAATGTAAGAATGAGTCTTAGGACTAGCGACTCCACAGAACACTAATTCAACACTATTTGAATGATAATTTCTAAGGCCTAAAATAAAATTATAGGTTTCTTTTGCATTTGTATAGATTGATGGGAGGAAATACTGCATGGTGTTGCACTCTCAATTTTCTATTATTTCTAATACTCAGAAATATTCCAGCCTAATTTTCATCACTTATACATTAAGGATAATTATGACAACATCGTCAGGTTGTTGTGAAGATTAATGGCTAAACATGTATATGTAATATATGTATATATGTTTATATATAATTTCCTAGCAATGCATGACTCATTGTAGAAATGACAACTATTATTACAAAATGTCATAGTAATGTTAAAATGATACATGGATTAAATAAAGTTTAAAACAAAATATATGCAAAAAATTTAAACAAAAAGAAACAAGGGATTGTATACTGAAAAGGATGGAAAATATATTAGAACTACAGAGGTTAGCTGACTTTCTTTGATGCCCACACAAGAGAATGGACACAGATCAGAGGATGAATGTTACAAATATATATATATATATATATATATATATATATATGGATTAAAATTGTGCACCAGTAGCTGGCACCGGTGGCTCACACATACAATTCTAGTTTCTCAGGAGACTGAGACCAATTAAAAGCCAGAGCAGATAATCCAGACTCTTATTTCCAATTAACCACCAAAAAGCTGGAAGTGGTGTTATGGCTCAAGTAATAGTGTCAGCTTTGAGCAGAAAAAGCAAAAAGCGAAAGGCCTTGAGGCTCCAAGTTCAAGCCCCAGAACCACTTTGAAGGTATCTATTAAAGGGAACATTGTAAGATTTTTCTCTAGAAATTAAAAAGATAATCACATTGGTTCCTTATTTCCCTGATTCCAGTGGTCAAAAGTAATTTATATACGGCTGCATAGGTGTTCTTTGCCTCAAGGGATTCTCCTTTCTAATTGTGTTTGTTTAAGCTAATAGAAAATGAATTTGCATTCCTTGAACTGCTACCAATTCTTGGTAGTTAGATGACTCAGAATGCAGAGCAGTAGGGAAAATCCCTTTGGAATTTAGAAGGTGCTAGGAATAATCCTGAAAGTATGTAATCCATGGCCAAGCTAACCGCGCAGGAATTTGGTCATTTCCCACATTTCTTCTATTACCTCTCCAGTTTAAAAAAAAAAAAAAAGCCAAGGTCCCAATGTGTGCGGCTGAGGGCAGTTCTGACTGCAGTTCACACGCCCACAGGATGCACACTGCCTTCCTGCGGGATGCCTTGTATAGGGTGCCCCTGAATCCAGATCGCAGCAGCACATTATCATTAGAGAAGGTGGGACAAGGATCCAGCTGGAGTTTCAGGAGGGACAACAGTTGTTTGTACCGCCAGGTCCCACTCATCTTACTCTGAATGATGAGAACTGTTTTTTGGTTTCTGGTGGTGGTTTTGTTTTTTGGGTTTTTTTTGGGGGTGGGGCTGGGAATGAGGGGGTGGAGGCAGGGTAAACAGGAAGGTTTGATTTTCCGTTTTCTGTTTCTTTATTGATGATACTGTCTTCATCTGGTTCAGTTTCTGAGTCCTATTACCAAAAATTCAGCTTTGCAATTAGAGTATGCATGTTTTGTTTTTCGTTTCTAACAGGCTTAGTGAAATTAGTCCTAAAAATCCATGCTCCTTCATCAAATCTCACATCATTCCCTAAAGATAACTTAATTTTCAAAAATTTAATATTCATGTCTATGCCAATTAGGAAGCAATTAAATTACATTAGAGTATATCCATCCCAAAGAATAGTGCAGAACAGTTTAAAAAGTAAGGAGGGGGCTGGGAAGGTGGCTCAGTGGTAGAGCGCTTGCCTTGCATGCATGAGGCCCTGGGTTCAATTCCTCAGCACCACACAAGCAGAAAGAAAAAAGCCGGAAGTGGCACTGTGGCTCAAGTGCTAGAGCGCTAGTCTTGAGCTGAAGAGCTGAGGGACAGCGTTCAGGCCCCACAACCGGACCCCCCCAAAAAAAAAGTAAGGAGGGGAGGGAAGGGATAGTAGGGGAAAAACAAAGGAGGGGGTAACAATGCTCAATAGGAAATAGTCATTACCTTACTCATGTAACTATAACCCCTCTGTACAATCTTTACAATAAAAATATTTTAAAAATAGATTTAAAAAAGTAAAGTATAAGCTGGGCACTGGTGGCTCATGCCTGTAATACTAGCTACTCAGGAGGCTGAGATCTGAGGAGCAGGTTTGAAACCAGCAGGAAAAGTCCATGAGATTCTTATTTCCAGTTAACTATCCAAAAAGCCAGAAGTGAAACTGTGGCTCAAGTGGTAGAGCGCTCACCTGGAGCAAAAAAGCTCAGGGACAGAGTCCAGGCCCAGAGTTCAAGCCCCACGATTGACAATAAAGTTATTCAGATGGGCACCAGTGTAATACTAGCTGTAATACTAGCTACTCGGGAGGCTGAGATCTGAAGATCACAGTTCAAAGCCTGCCCTGGAGTGCCCATAAATTTCTAATCTCCAAGTAATCAACAAACAAGTCCAAAATGTCTGGGCTGGGAATGTAGGTTAATGGTAGAGTGCTTGCCTAGCATGCATGAAGCTCTGGGTTCAATTCCTCAGTACCACATAAACAAAAAAATCTAGAAGTGGTGCTGGGCTCAAGTGGTAGAGCGCTAGCTTTGAGCAAAAGGAAGCTCAGGGACAGTGCCCGGGTTCTGAGTTCAAGCCCTAGGACCAGCACTAAAAAGGCAAAAGCAAAAAAGGTATTCCCAGTGCTGGGAAGGTGGCTCCATGGGACAGTGCTTGCCTTACATGCATGAGGCCCTAGGTTCGATTCCTCAGTACCACATAAGCAGAAAAAGCCAGAAGTGGTGCTGTGGCTCAAGTGGTCGAGCGCTCGCCTAGAGCTGAGAGGCAGCGCCCAGGCCCAGAGTTTGGGCCCCACAACCACTACCACCACCAACAAAAAGATATTCCCATCCTTTTCCACACTTAGAATTCTCCTCCCTGAGTCCAGTATTACTTCATTTCCAGTACGTTCTTCCAGAAAGTCTATGTGATTTTACCTCTTAGCTTAATAATATCCTACGCCAGGGCTTACAGAACCACAAAGATAAGATTTGGCAAACACTAAGGCAAACACGAAGTCTCTGTTGGTCTTTAATGGAATAAGCACCAGTGGCTGGCAGGAGACAGCCTCTGTCTACCTGTGGGCAAAGGGGCTTTTCCAAGGAAGGGGTGGGGCCTGTCCGTTTCAAGAGGAGACACTGCAAGACTGTCACCCATGTCAACTTAGAGAAACTCAAGTGCAGGGTTTTGTTTTGTTTTAGAGTCAATTCAGGATCCTGATCAGATCGAAACATAACAGCATTCATTTAAATGCTTACCCATTTTCCCAGCAGAGCTTGTCTTTCTTCAAAGACCTGCAATAAATAAAAGATGAGAGTGATTTTATATGTCATGGATCAAAATAACTTTTGCAAGACCAGCATCATTAATGGATCGGTAAATAAGTATGACTTATATCAAGTAAGTTTAAAGGCTTTATTCCTGAGGATTGGGATTTTTGTTGTTGTTATTTATTCATTTTTGACAGTACTAGGATCTGAAATCAGGGTGTTGTGCTCACTAGACAGGTGCTTGACCACTGAACCAACAGAACCCTGAGAGAATACTTACTTATAACCTGAACAAGGCCTCTCTCTTTCATTTATGTTGACTAATTCAAATGAAAGAAGTAACTGTCCTTCTTTCACTCTACTTTTCTCTTTCTTAAACTGAAATGTTAATTAGAAAAAAAAATTGGCCGTACTGGGAAATGAGCTCAGTTTCTAAGCAGGCAGTCTACCAATGGAGCCACTCCTTCAGTCCTTTTGGTTATCTTTGAGATAGGGTCTCACTTTATGCCCAAGCCAGAGTGGACTGTGATCCTCCTATTTGTTCTTCTCCATGTTGCCAGAGGTAACATGTATATATCACTATGCCACTGTACCACTGTGGCCCTGTAGCTGGGACAGGTGTATGCCACTGGACAAAATGGATTTGTGAAAACTTTTTGCCCCTGCTGATCGCAAACTGATTCCATTGATCTCTGCTTCAGGTCCCAATAGCTAGGATCAGAGGCTTAAGCCACTAGGCCCGGTCTAACTTAATTGAAAACAAGGATGTGTGGCCCAGGCTGGTCTTGAATTTTTTTCTTTTTTCTTTTGTTTTTTGCTGGTTGTGGGGCTTAAACTCTGGGCCTAGGCACTGTCCCTCAGCTCTTCAGATCAAAGCTAGTGCTCTACCACTTGAGCTACAGCACCACTTCTGGTTTTCTGGTGGTTAATTGGCGGTAAGAGGTTCCTGGACTTTCCTGCCCGGGCTGGCTTTGAACCTTGATCCTGGGATCTCAGCCTCCTGAGTAGCTAGGATTACAAGCGTGAGCCCACTGGTACCTGGCTGGCCTTGAATTCTTGATCTGCTCCCCTCAGTTCCCTAAATATTGAGATTATACTTGGCTAAGTCGTTGTTTTTAAAAGAAAATAAGGGGAAAATTCAATTGTAAAGAGAAATCAAGTTTAGGTCTTGAAAGGAGATGAAAAACAATAACAAAAAAATAGAAAAATGGAGATCCCCATGCCAAATGTTTTCATAGGAATGGCAAGAAAATTTATAAAATGTATAAAGGAGCAGCTCTGGTTTTTATATTTCAGCACGTACACTTGTGAATGAGAGGTCATGTGCCTCTGCGTGTGAAGGACTATCTTGTAAAAGTGTGTTTCAGGGCTTGTAACTGAGTATTATTTGCATAGACTCATTCACCTTCTAACTACACTTTCTGTTCATCAGTTATTTTTCCACATTTTTACTAGCATCAATTAATAGTACAAAAGGGCTTTGTTTTGACATGTCCTTCTAGGACTCTGAGTATCCTGAGCAGACTCATCCCTGCCCTCAGGCTATTCTTATGCACTATATTTTGGACAAAAACCATGTCTTATTTCTGCGGATTCCATGCTGTGCCTATCATAAGCATCCAGGATTATGGAACCAATGTCTATATGAGGTCTAGCATATGAACATGTTGATGTTTTTCTGAACATATGTGAATCTGAATGAGTGAGGAAGGAAAAACTAACATGGGTATATCTGCCGGAGGAGGAATTATGAAGAGAGGAGGAGAGAGTCTTAAACATATGTGTCTGTCTCTCCCATTCCAACAACACACCCTCTGTCAGCTTTCAGAATTGGGATCGATGCTTTCCCCTTCCTCTTGGCATTAGGAGGCTCTCCACCACTGAACCAGAAGACTCTTACTGCTTGGAGAAGCGGCACAGGCCTATTTCTTGCCTTGTTGTAAAGAGCTGGTATTATGCTTCCAGATAGTGCTTTCCTCTGTCGTGTGTGTGTGTGTGTGTGTGTGTGTGTGTGTGTGTGTGTGTGTGTGTGTGTTCATTAAGACTACCCTTGATTAGAAATATAATTCTGAGCAAATCATTTCACTGTGAGGTCCTCAGTTTTACACCCCCTGTTTTGGAGTGAATCTTTAGTCCATAGATTTGCAACCAGGTTCTTCATTTTAAAGACCTGGAAAAGAGCTTGGCACTGTGGCTCATACTTGTAATCCTAGCTACATAGGAGGTTACAAGCAGGAAGATCAAGGTGGCCGGACAGAAAAGTCTCAACAGAAGTTGGTTGTGGTGGAGCACACCTGTTACCCCAGCTACAGCAGAAAGTGTAGAATGAGAGGTTCCAGATCCCAGTATATGCGGAGGCAGGAAGCAACACCCTAACTAAAAAAAATCAGCACATAAAAGGCCCAGAGGCACATCCAAAAAAAGAGCTGAAAAATAAGTATCTATTTGAAATTGAAATATTAAAATGGATCTTCTTTTGCAGAATGCTGCAGTTTGTTTACATCACAGTTTATCCATAGCCTGCTGTTAAGTCAAAATCCTATGGTGGTTATTTCAGGCTGTTGACACTGCAATTACATATTTCCCCACGTGACACCATCATGGTATAGAAAGGAGATACTTAGAGGCTCTTCAATTATGACTGATTGGTGGCAACAAAGTGGTTTTGTTGGGAACACTCTCAACATGCACTCTAATACGTGTGTGAATCATGATCTCAAAGAAGTGTGAATTGCCTGCTTAAAATAAATTGTATGTATTGAAGATGTACAACATGGTGCTTTGATATACATATACAGAGCGAAATGATGGCTAGCTTCAAGCAAATTACACTGCTCCTTACCACCCACAGTCGGCTACGAGTGAGGTAGTGAGGACAACTTTGCTTTGCTTTTGTTTTTTGTTTTTTTTTTTTTGTTTGGTGTCCGAACTGGGGATGAACTCGGGGCCTTTTCCTTTCATTTGGCTTTTTTGCTCAAGGCTGGTTCTCTAGTCATACCTCTACCTCTTGCTTTTTGGTGGCTAACGGGAGATGAGTCTCACAAGCTTTTCTGCCTGGGTTAGTTTCAAACTGTGATCCTTAGATCTCAGCCTCCTAAGTAGCTCAGATTACAGACATGAGCCACCAAGTGTCCTCTTAGGACCACTTCTAATTACAACACTGGGTGGGAACAATATACACACCTGTGTGAGTGTGTGTGTGTGTGTGTGTCTGTGTGTACCTGCACATGCACGCGTGCTCAGGATTGAACCTAGGGTTTTGTGCAGGTGAGACAAGCACTCTACCACTGGGCTAAATCCCCATGTATTTCTGGAACATTTTTTTCACTAAAAATTGTCAATGCTTGAATTGCTTTGTAACCTGTTACATTTTCTATCTTGATGATACTTTTTAAGGTACCTTAATTTGGATTCAATCCCTGTGTAAAAACTGCTGTGAAGTTAAAATCCTGTGACTGTTTTTTTAAGGCCAAGGCAGTTACGTAGTTCATACCTGACTATAGAATAGAAGAAAGACAAGATTAAAAGCAAAATGGGATCTTACAATTGCATTGATCATTGGTGACACTGCCCTGGTCTTGAAATGTAGAAAAACACTTGAGATTACTAGATGGTTACCTCTGGTCACGTGGCCAGTGTTTTTAATACCTTTCACTCTGTCAGAATAAAAGATCTGGAGGGAACCTAGAGGTCTTCTGATCCAAGCCATTCCATTTAACAAAGGATGACAAAGCCCAGAGAAGGTTAGAAGCCTACTCAAGGCATGGAGGAAATTATTAGGATGGGAGATCTGGAACCAAGTTTTCCATTCCCCAGGATGTTTTTCTTCATTTGCTTTTATTTGCATGTGATGTGTGTGTGTGTGTGTGTGTGTGAGCTGCCGGTCCTGGACTTGAACTCAGGGCCTGGATGCTGTCCTAGAGCTTTTGTGTTCAAAGCTAGCACTCTATCACTTAAGCCACAGCTCCATGTCTGGCTCTTTGGTGGTTAATTGGAACTAAGGCTCTCACAAGCTCTTCTGCTAAGCTGATTTTAAATCATGATTCTCAGATCTCAGCCACTGGAGTAACTAGAATTACGGGTGTAAGCCACAGTACCCAGCTTTGCATTTACTTTTAAACTGCTTTAATTTTTTAAAATATAATTTTTTTTATTCTTATTGTAATTTTTTCTTCCCAGTCATGAGGCTTGCACTCGGCCTACGCACTGTCCCTGAGCTTCTTTGGCTCAAGGTTAACACTCTATCACTTGAGCCACAGTGCCACTTCCAGCTTTTTCAGTAGTTTTTTGGAGATAAGAGTCTTATGGCCGGGTGCTGGAGGCTCATGCCTATACTTCTAGTTACTCAGGAGGCTAAAGATCGTGGTTCAAAACCAGCCTGGGCAAGAAAGTCCATGAGACTCTTATCTCCAATTAACCAAAAAACCAGAAGTAGATCTGTGACTGAAAGTGGTAAAGCACTTTCCTCGAGTGGAAAGGCTTAGGGACAGTGCCCAGGCCCTGAGTTCAAGTGCTATAACTAGCAAAAATAAAATAAAAAGTCTCACAGATTTTCCTGCCCAGGCTGGCTCTGAATCACAGTCCTCAGATCTCAGGATTACAGGTGTGAGCTACCAATACTTGGCTTATTGTTATTATTTAGGTTTTGTACAGAAGGGTTACTGTTTCATAAGTCAGGTAATAGATATATTTCTTTTTGAACATTGGCACCCCCTCCTTCTTTTTTTTTTTTTTGTGGGTCGTGGGGCTTGAACTCTGGGCTTGGACATTGTCCCTGCGCTCTTCAACTCAAGGCGAGCACTCTACCACTTGAGCCACAGCGTCACTTCTGGTTTTCTAGTGGTTTATTGGAGATAAGAGTCTCACGGACTTTTCTTCCCAGGCTGGCTTTGAACCATGATCCTCAGATCTCAGCCTCCTGAGTAGCTAGGATTACAGGCGTGAGCCACCAGTGCCCAGCACCCCTTCCTTCTTTTACACCCGTTTCCCCTCTTCCATCCCTGCTCACAGTTTATTGCATAGTT